TTAAATATAAAAATATTTGAAATGTAATGATGGATTTTTGTTGCACATAAAGAAAACAGTATGGACTTAAAATCAGCAAAAATTACAGGCACATATACAAACATATATAAACATAAACACAAATGAACCATTTGCGGTTTGACTATTTTCTTCTGTCTAAATGTGAATGCTGTGTTATGGGTTAGAAATGAATGTGTTGAGTCACTGATCATTTGTGCAATGAGTGGAATAACATACAAATGCCCAACTATATAACAATCGCACGCGCTTTGCCACTTCCACAATACATTTAACTAATAATTAGTATTTATTAATTACAGCATCTGGGCGAATCTGTGAAATTCTTCATAAATATGTTTCTGTAAAAAAAAGATTGATGATATTTGACAATGTCAGTCAGCTTTTATTTTTTTTCAAATTTTAATAATAATTATAAATTAACCTTGTATTTAATAATAACCTAATATTTAATATCAAAGACCATCATGTCTGGTATGTGTGAATTTGTTCCCACCAAGTTTGTAGAATTTGTATTACTTAGATCATATACTAGTATATTTGTGGCGTTTGGTTAATTATCTGGTTTTGTTCATGGACTCTCACATTTTGTAGACTTTGTGTTACCTAAATCATATACTAGTATATTTGTAACGTTTGGTTCGTTATCTGGTTTGTTCATGGACACTCACATGATCTGCTTTATTGCATGTATCTGCCCCTTGTATCCAAAGGGAGTCTTTCGTGATTGCATCATCTTTGACATATGCTAATGACTTGATTATCTTGGGGGTTGAAATCATATCATCCTGGACTTATCTTTTCAATTTCATTCTAGGAAGCGCGTCCCTTTCGCTCTGTGAGTTTTTTTTTTATTTGAAGTCTGATTCGATTCATATCGCCAACTTGTGGGATTATCTTGTCATGAGCTACGTATTTAAATTACCGCATAATGTGAAATACCTTCGTCATAGATAGCTTCAATGTTTCATCTCATCTGTTCGCTTCCGAACCTTTCAAGCAACTTCTACATTGACATATTGCTGCTATCATATTGAAAAGTAAAGTAGGCTTTTACCAGCAATTACAATCCAAAAGTAAAACGTAAGTTAGACATTGACAACAGATATATATCTTTTAACAGTCGCATCACTGATACAACGAAGATTATGTTTTATGGGTTTGCTTGTTACATCTATATGTCTTCTATTGTCAATTAAAGTGTGCAACCATAGACAATTTACAACGATGGGCATGTGGATGCTAATCTGATTTTTTTTAATATAGGGAAATGGCCGGTGCTCCTTTCCAACTAAAATTATATGTCACTGGCCATCTCATTCCGATTAACATATCATATTCATTAGGTTACAATTAGGTTTGTCAATATTAAGTATATTTGACAAAGCCATTTGACTAGATTGATTCTGGTTAATGCCTGTGAAGGGTGGATGAATAGTATTAAGGGATTAGTTGACGTGGTACAAACAGATATAAAGTTGTATGTTAAACATAATACGGTGGAAATGGTTATGATCATCTCGAGACGACTCGATTACAACTTGTTTAATGAAACAGTGTCAATTCGCTAAGAGAAAATATGAACTAAGGAATGATTCAAAACAACTACTGCAATTATGTTTATTGTGCGAATAATTTTTCCAGCCATAGATTATTCATAACACATTTATTCCCCACGTTGATTACTAATGAAATATTTTAATTTTCCCATTTAGTATGGTTCTGTAAATTATAAATCCATTTTATCAATTCAGGGAACACTCAACGTTTTTGGTATGGCCATAACTTTTAGATTGGTACACACCATGTTAGTGTATCTTCGAATACGGACATAACCATAGGAGACCTGTGTAATTTGGGCAAATTTTAACCGCTAACATCCAAAATTTGCCATTGTCTTACTGTGCAGTCATGTGAACATAGCAATGGATTCACTTCGATGATAACACATTGATTGATAACGATTGAATACCGTGGTGATTACTATATATAATTCCCATGTGTCCTAAATACATTCAGTTTACCATGAATTATAGTAGTCATCATGTTTGGATCGTAAAATTCCATTGCATTATTAATTACGAACCCTTGTTGGATCATTGCAATTAAATTGCGGGTGTTTGTTGTACATATATCAAAATATTCAATCATAATATGCTTATTTCTATTATGTGACATAATTTTAAGGCTCAATGCCGAAAACATGGCTTGTAAACTGATACTTTCAATCACAGACGGTAGTTCAGAGTTTACTGTGTGCAGTTCATCTATATTCAAGAAAAATATATGTCTTTATTCGGTATTATCAATACTTGGTTTCCATGGCAATTTAAGTGTACGTGCTTATATAAGCAGCATTATTAGGTATCAATTGAATGTAACAATCCGTGCACATTAACTGACATCACTAAGATAATATTTCTTAATATTTCTTATTAATAAAGTATCAAAGAATGATCTGGTCTGTGAATTACATTTGTTGGCCACAATATGTTTAAAAATCTATATTGATAAATTGATAAACTGATTTGTGTTGTGTCAGTCAGACGATCACCATACGATGAAGTGCGTTTCGAACCGTGTCTGCTTGGATGAAAGCTTGCCATACAAGACCATTATTACAGATATGCAGTACCTTGCTTGAGCATGTAAATGTGTCCCCCAGACGAATAGATTTAGATGCAACTTCGAGTGTATTTTCTCCAGTGTACTCTTCAATGGCAAGTGAATAATAGGACTCCTCGATGCTTTTATAGGGGCTGACATGTATACTGCGACATCCTGTGTGGCGTTTAAAGAGAGATCTTAATTGGAGTTTCCAACAAGCATTATAGCTTCTGACAACGTGTCTTCTTGCATTTCCGTCTTTGAGAGGTTTCCAGTTGTCGGCACCTGCCCAGATTAATCTGAATTCTAGTTGGTACAACTACAGCAGCAGAGATAACACGTATGGCCATATTTTGTACATGAATTCAGACTTAGGATAATGCAAATCCCATAGTATAATGTGCCAACATAACACCTGAAAGCAATGTGTAGGAGAAATAACCAATAGCAAATATTGACACTTTGGTTGAGGTTAGAACGGATCCAATGCATACCTGTTGATGGGATGGTGCTGTAAAAGTAACGCTTGCAGATCTTTTACTTGAGATGCGTTAATTTGTTTCAAAATATTTGGACACTAATCATAGTGTAGGATTGGTAGCATATGCTATTTGTGTATACCCTATTCGAGACACAAACCTTCATTCAGCCCATACAGTGATCACAGCTGCAAAGGGAAAACTATCTAAATTTTGATATGATATGAAAAACGTAGGTAATGCTGTCATCTGTCTATTGGCGCTGTATTAGACCATCATAAAAAAACGCCATGTAGTCAAAAACCCGATTTACAATCATATTTTATATTTTGTGGTGGTCATAGAACATATTCAGGAAGAGGATGTTCACATCGTGACATATGTCCAAGTGAGTAACCCTGTCGAGATGTTATTCATTTTCTGTGTGTCCTTCGGTTGCTGGTTAATCAGAGACAGTATGTTGAAGTCAGTAGACAATAACTCATTGATGCTTTAAATCACCATCAATCATGACATGGACATGCGAGTCGAAGGAATGACATGGAAAAGAATGACCATTTATCCACTCAACAACACTATAGAAAAAATGGATTCGCCACTATGATCTTGAATGATCTTGCAGGCAGATGTTCTATATTTGGGACATGGTTGCATAATGTTGGACAAATAAGTTACAAATATAATATATCATTAGATGTATATGTACATTCAGCAATCTCAGTATAGAATGAATGATCAACATTCCATATACATATTTATTGATATATCAACAATTATGTTGGCAGGTAATGTCCCTGGGTGTGTGGTTTGTAGAATTATTAATGCGTCTGGAAGTTTATCAGGTTTCATCTGTAGCTCACAGAGCACTCGGTAATCAAGGACTTGATGCATGAAACTGGTTTCCCATAAGCCGTTGCCTCAAGCCACGCATTATAATTATACTGATGGTATAATATGGGTGAAACGTTCTCCGAACTTGACCCTGAAGTACAACTACGACGAGATCGAAACAGTGCATATCGACTGACACAAATGACCTAGAAAAACACGTTTACCACGCTTTTTAACCAACATTTTTGAATTTCTGCTGATTGTACTTCACATATATGTGGCTAAGCAAGCCAATTGTTCGTCTGTAAACAAATTTAAGTTTGTATATGATTTTGGTCTACCATGATCAGTTATTTATACAACTGAATAGATGCCACTCTAGCTCTGCGTACAGTGTGAACGGGGACGCGTTCAGTTGATAGATGCCCCAAACACAACCCTGCGTACTTCTATGGACAAAGTCCGGGACTTTGAAAAATATAACTTTTTTAATGAAATAGTATGCCCAGATACCAAAAACGATGATCTATTAACACATATATCCAGGATTCCCAGTTCGGAGTCCAATTGTGGATGAAATCGGCTACTTTGTCCTTAAAATAAACGCATTCTCTTGCGTGAATTAAATTTAAAATGGCAGCGTTTGATGGATGATTCCTCGGTACCTACGCCGTTACAATTGTTCCGTCTTCACTAGTCGTTTTATTTAAAGACATTTCAGTTTCAGATAATTTTGTAATGGTTGTTACGGATAACTATCGTCATTTCAACCGATTTCGGCTGGAAAACTACTTATTTTTAACTTGCGCACCATCTCCGGTGCGCTTCCAGACTTTGTCTATGGAGGTACGCAGGGCTGTGGTGGGGGATATATATCAACCGAACGCGTCCCCGTACACGCATCACTTTATGCAGTGCTACCACACACTTCTTCTTAGAACAATGAGTAACGATAAAAATCACAATATTAACATTTACATTTAGAGTCCGAACTCTATCGATGCTTTGGCACACTTTCACGCAATTGTTTATCTAATTACGTCATTATTATCTGTTTTATTTCAGCTCATATCATGTGACGCTGGTGGTGCTATTCAAAATGCCGGTAGATTCAGGGTAGAAGACGGTGAAATAAGAGATGAAGTCCATGTAAGTAAACTACGGCCATTGACTAATAAAGTATCGAAAAACATGGAAGAAATAGTGTTATAGTTTGTCCAAATAAAGCAAAGTGTTTTCGCAAATATAGTCCCAGATGCCAGCTGTCTTGTGTAGATTGTGACTAAGATTGATATATAAAGGTTCATATATTTTATTTCTACATTCGAGCCTTCGAGCTCGCATAAAAATAGTAGGAAGCGTCAGGGGTACAGTTTCAGACCAAGCTACTTCGAGAAAATAGGCAGTAGTTACATGGCGAAACATTCAAAATATACAACATGCAAAATCTCATCAACCACAATAACATGACAAGTAATACAAGACTCATTCTCCTCTATAACTTGTATGTAAATCTCGCTGATAGCTGATCGACAAATCAAACACACTGGCGACATTGTGTTCCTAGATGAACTTTCAGACATAAAAAAGATTGGCTAAGAAAAGTGGTCGTCGAACGCCGAACGTGCATTGTGTCATGTGTGAAGGTAGTCGAGCATCGTTTTTAATACAACTCGTTGTTCGTTTTTTTACTATTAATAATAATCACATTTCATGTGGGCAAAATTAAAATGAAACGCCGAATGTAAGAGTTTTAGAGCCAACAAAAACATGTATTTAACGACTTTAAATACTGCCGACAGGTAAGTCACGTCTTGTCACGATTTGTGACAAGCTTGCATCATTTGTTATAAAATATCTGACAAGCGTCATTACATACACAGTGGGAGAACTCTTTGCCAATTATAAATGCCGTGAACCACATCAGTTTGTTCGTAAATAACTTTGTTATATGGGATAACGCTCGATAATAAGCCGACGAGCAAATAGTCACACTATCTACTACTCCAGGGCGGTCATACTTTGTTTCAGGTTGACTTAATCGATTTCGAAGCTTAATCGACCCATGTATTAAACGCAAAATAGCTTTTTAAAATAACTGAATACGATGTTGTTGTTGAAAATATATTTTTAGTTGTGCTAATTTTGGTTATCGTGCCTTTTCAGCAATTTGAATAATAACGTTTATGTCACGAAATAAATAAACTCTACATGAATGTGTTTGTCCAATTTTGCTGATTTTCCCAGAGATTGAGAATATGTATAATTGAAAACAATATATGTAAAATATGTTTTAAGATAGCATTGAATCGAGTACTGGTAAAACATTATTCTACAACACTTCGTGACAAACTCAACACTGCAGCAAAACCATTTTATTATACATTGTAGTCCTCTTTTTCACGTGAAAATGTTTTTGGTAACTGTTTTTCTAGTATATCTAAAACATATCAACACAATATTTTGCTTATTTGGCAGTCACGTGATGTAATAATAACTTTTATAAATTGTTGTGGTCTAATGAGTACTATTTTTTTAACAAGATTCGTCAACAAATCTTTATTTATGTGGTTTATACACAGATTCCTAACGCTGGTACTGGTACAGACATCCATCTAGAAAATCCAGAATATCAGACAAGATGGTATTTTAAGTACTTTCTAGGAAAACGTGAGTGAACATCTTAATGCTGAGATATGCCTGCAATAACGTGGTATAAAAACATAAAATATTAAAGCATATTTGACTACGACGGTTTGTTTTACTTTGTCACGTGTTTGCATGAATGTCTCTCTGAATCTTTATACAGATATGGCACTATGATTGGTTACGTTGTATTACTGAGTGATACATTAAATGTTTCATGAAAAGATAGGAGAAAACGGGTTATTAAGTTTTACACTGAATTATTTATGTAACTTACCGAGATCTCCTAACGGCCTAGAGGAAGTGAATTAGGTGCATCTAACCTAAAAAACGACTGCATTATTTAAGATCAGAATGAATGTCGTGTGTTTTTCACAATGTAATGGGCATCCACGCATGTACAGGGTGAAAAATCCATTTAGCTTGCCATTCTTATAGTTTAAATCTTTAACAAAATTGTATTTAGTTTTTTTTATATCAATGAACAATAAAGATAAAACACATACTAAGATTTCATAATTTATATACGCATTGAATTGTGTTCGTCTGTTACCATACATACTTCTTTTCAAATGTGTACATATAAAGAGAAAATAATTGTTGTTATTATTATTTTTACTCCAGTTCATCAAAACTATGTAGGTGCTGATCTTGAAAAGAATGCCTTCTTCCTGTCTGTTGTGTTAACAGACGCCAACAACCATAACGTGCCACAGTACCGAGCAATCTTATGGAGAAAGACGGTGGGTAGAAGCATAACTCGCAATTTTTATATGGTTATATTATGTTTACAATCACCTGACATATTACGAGCAATGTCCTAGGAAAAATTACAAAATATCGTTATTTTTTGCTTCCAACATATTTGCCACATTTAATTAACTCATACCATTTCGCGTCCGGCGTAGTTATGGAACATTGACTTTAATGGATGTGCTCTCCACTACCTTGGGCAGAATAAATGAATATATTAACTATTATATGTTCTCATTTAATTGGACTGGATGCAGATATGTCAGAGAGCGTATGTAAGGCAGTGATATAGCGTACAATTTACAAGATATCAGTGTGACCTCGGGTGCTTTATGGTATGGCATCTTGGTAAACACTAGAATAGTACAACCTATACATGAATAATCAAATTTTTCTAAAAAGGTCAAGGGGCTTTTAGTGGAAATGATGTTGGCTAGGTCATGTATAAGATAGTTCGTTGCAAAGCGGGTATCCATTTAAATCATTAAAATCTCAAAATAAGCGTATAGCCCGGGGCTATCACGCTACACAAGCGATCCACAGCACGGCATAGAACTTTACATCTAATGTGTCTAAACAGTATGGTTCCATTTTTCGCTGTTTGTGGTTACATCAACTATCGATCGTTAACAGCAATCACAAAAATCATCAGTTTCAATCAAATCTTTATAAATGAACATTGTCTGAGAAATATCATTGTTTTGTGTGTGCAAATAAACGATTTACACATTATTTTATATCGTGTTTTTGGAACATATCTATATATAAAGCAATATAGAAGTTTACAAACGTATAAACACAAATGAATTGATTTTATAACAATACACTTTGGTGCGGTCATTGCAAAAAATATGAGACCTATATATATATATATATTAGTTAAATGGACACATAAATGTAAATCAATAAAACGATCTCATGTGAGTACACGTTAGTCAAACGAGAAAATCTGTGATCATGTGTATTGATGATTTACGGTTATTTTTAACAATCATTTTTGTATATTAAAGCAAGCAATCTTATAATGGTTTTCATTCGCAGGGAACACAGAAGATTTGTATCCCATATAACCCAACGAAACCATTAACAGTTAAGTCTATCTTAAGGTGAGATCGGAAAACCTATTATTCAAAATAATTCAAAATAACTGCCATTAATGTTACGATCTTTTCAATTAGTTAGTATGCTTAATATATAGATATATGTAGCTACGTAATATGTGGGTATAACTTACATTTTATGCATGACATATTGGGATGAATGGTTCATTTATATACTCGTTATTGTGTTATCTTTCAGCCGTTTTGAAATGAAAACTGAAAAAGCGCCAAAGGAAATTTACAACCCGGAAATTCAGAAGGTAAGGCGTTTGTTTTTCAAAAACGCGGCTCCGTACATTGCGATAACCGTTATTGTTAATTGGATATGTTTAACCGAGAGGGTTTCAGAATAAGGTTAATAGTACATACGCCATATGTTCGCAACAATAAAACATTAATTCATTGCTACATGTTTTGATACAATCAATTATTAATATATACTCGACTATAAATTAAACTACTGTATGTTTTACGTTTACTGTTTGAGAACAAAAAATAGGCACCTGTCTGAGGATGACACGTCAAATCAGTCTGATGAAGGCGTTTAACCTGTTCCTAATTGAGTTTTGTGTTAAGTACACAGGATATTTGTGCCGGAATATTCATATACTATTTTATTATGAATTCATGATTTTAATGTTTAGTCAACGTTATGAATACTTTTTCTGTACACAGAAGAACAATGTGCGAGCAACTCGACAACCTTGTATTGTTATGTCATGTATTGTACCATGCGCAAACCATACGTCCTTGGATTATTCTCGTATAATGTATCTGCGTTTGCGGGCGTACAAGTATGAAGCTGATTATGTAGGGGCATCATCTAAAATAGCATCTATAAATATAGGCTAACACTGGCATTTAACGTTGACATTGTATCGCATAGAACCACGTTTTTTGAGTTTCCTACGACTAGGTTATCACACTGCATTTGACAATTCTTCGAAGTTAAATTACTATCATTCAAACGAGACCATACAAACTGGTACATACATTTTCGAATACAAACTTGTATGTATATTTATTCCAGGAACTCTTGCTTCTAGAAGAACAAGAAGGTTCAGTCAATTTCAAATTTGGTGTCTTGTATGCGAGAGAAGGTCAGACGTCAGACGACGAAATGTTCAGTAATGGTAAGTTAAAATGTCAAATTCGCCTTTTTCTTACTTTTTCAATATGTGAGAGGTTACTAAATCAGCTGACAGATGTATACTTTAGATTCATCTGTGTGAATAACTGCGTGAAAACATTTCCCGATGTGAGTAAAAGTGGAATGCGAGGTTGAAATGCTTGTTTTCATCTTTGCACTGACACTCGTCGCTGTTTAGATACAGTCCATTTACTGCGTGACTTAATAAACTAGTGTAATCATTTTCAATTTCATCCCAGCCTTTGTAGTTCAATATATCTAATATTGTAAGATCGCGAATTTGATATCCTATTAATCCCATGTATTAATTTCGTACTTCTAAAGGCTAAATACTAAATCAGAGATCGTATTATTTAAGCGTATTCAAGGTCGATAAGCGTGCTGGCTCATTTGCATAACCGATCGATTGCCGTTTGTTAATCCTATTGCGATTTTAATTTAATTTAAATATTTTTGTAGTGATCATTACATTCGTAGTTTGGGGGATGCATTGATAGCATAAATACTAATTTGAAGTCAATTCAATTCGTGGTCATTTCACAATCCGTCTGTGAAGTTGAGATAAGGAAAATTTGAAATGTGTTCTTACATGTTGTCTAAAATCACGAAGATCTCATGTTATTGGTTTATTTTGCGATAGTCAGCCATAATGTCAAATGTCTGCATTTTATTTACATAGTATGAATATATAGCAAATTATTGGACTGCTTTATTGTTCGTCTTAATCCATCATCCGCAACAGGTGTTACATTTTTATAAATGTACCTTCAGATTTGTTATTTCATTTTTAAACCCATTTTTATATGTAGCCACTGTGGGTGGTTCTCTGCCAGATTTGTTGATTTCATTGTGATAACTTTAAATTTCTAATTTCAGTGAATTTTTCATTCATTTTGGCAAATAAGGCTATTTAAGCTTAATGTAAACGACTGTTATATATGTACTGGACCTATATCAGATTTGTCACTTTTGCGACGATAACTTTCATTTTCCAATTTTTGGGAACAGTGTTGCATTTTTAATAAAAAAAACACATTTTGTTTGAAAACGGGTCATTTGTACAGTGTCCCGTCTTGTACGGCGGCAGAGGTCTTCAAACTATACATCTATTTATTCTTGTTGTTTGTAATGTGTTACGCATTAGTGTATTATAATGAAGGAAGTCATTATATGCATTAGGTGTATTTGTATCCGTAATGGAACGTATTTACTTGTCCATATTACCCCTGTCAGATGTTAGCATTGTTTATGACTTCTTCATCTCACATCTTCATATACGTATAGTCTTTGTGATTTGTAGATTAGATTTAAATGTCGGTTTCGGGGATGTTTTGATTTTTACCAATATTCAATATGTGTCTGCATTATGATCATTACAAATAATTGTGAAACATATTTCAATTTTTGTCTGTTCAGTCAGTGCCCCATGGGTTCTTTCAATTAGATCGATATCGTTTGCAAATCTCAGATTCGATATTGGCCGGCCATCTATCGATTCAGAAGTATGCTTATCGTAATCACGTGGAGTCTCTGTCACGATCGGTGAAAGAATGATTTTATAAATATATTTAGAAAAACCTTGCTGCATTACTGCATCTTATTGTTGGTCGCTGTTGTTCTGAAACGTATCTTTCACTGGGTGCCTAATCAGATAGCTTTGTAATAGCGTTAGTTTTTATATGATGTCATTGAACATTTACTGTACGTTTTTGTAGATTTCTTCTTTTCGAGCTTCAATTCAACAGAGATCTATAATTTGCATTGCTTTGAGGAACATGTAGCTGTTTTAACCTGTGTGAAAGCATTGTTGTTCCACCACCAATTCTAATATGTCTAATCACCATTTCACCATGTTTTTTAGTTGATAATGTTATTATGGAAACGATCCTGAATTGTAAATTCACTTATTGTTTATCCGTAATTTCTTTCTGAATTTATTTGTATTCTTCACTCTGCTGTTCATTTCCCTGTATTCTCTTGCATCCTTTTGGTTGCTCCTGTCAGCCATGTTATATGCCTTTCCGAAGTACGGCGTCGAGCGATTGTTGGTATTATCAAATTATCTTTTCCTTAACCACTTCATGCATTTAGTTGATGAATTATACTTTTCGAAGTCATCCCTCTGTTTTGAATAGTTTGAGAATGTATTTTGATTAGGGTATTGGTGTGAATCGTTGGCGAATATGTCTGCTAAAGGCAGTACTGATAAAGATCGTTCGAGAACGAGGCTGGTATTGGCATTACTAATGTTGATTAGGTTTGGTTTAGACAGTATGATGGGAATGATTAGGTAATTGATTTAGTTGGGACAGATAGATGATAATGGGTCTGGAATGGAGAGTAATTATACTGATATTTAGGGAATGAGTTTGATATTTGCCATATTCGTGTCTATAGCGAAGAGGTCTTGATTTGGGCAGTAATGATTTAGACAAGTTGAAATGGGTCTGGATTTGGGTAGTAATGATTTAGACAGGTTGAAATGGATCTTGATTTGGGCAGTAATGATTTAGACAGGTTGAAATGGATCTGGATTTGGGTAGTAATGATTTAGACAGGTTGAAATAGGTCTGGATTTGGGCAGAAATGATTTAGACAGGTTGAAATGATGAGTCTGGATTTGGGCAGTAATGATTTAGACAGGTTGAAATGGATTGGGAAGTGATGATGTGGTTAGTTGGAGAGTAACTTCCACCATAGCATGAAAACAAACGGTGCACATACACGCTGAGTATTATTTAATGTGAAATCTCCAACTCACCAAGACTCAGCGCACAGACAGTTGGCATTTAAGCCGATGGCCTAATAACCCTATTACAAAAGCAACCATTGCGCCGAATACCCTCATGTGTATGGCGGATTATTAGTCCGTATACAAAATGTATCATGCTCCGTCATCAGTGTGTTGAAAATATTGCCAGTTACTGCAATTGGTTAATCCACAGTGCAAATACGTACTCCCATGGGGGAATTACTCCTATATAATGGAATAAATAACACATTCATTGACGCTTTACGCCACTGTCATTGAGTCGTCATGGGGAGTACAGGCGGGCGAATTAATTCTCTTCGGAACAATCCATTTTATTGCAGATTATGTGATTTCATACAAATACTATTGATGATAGTTCATAATTACGTTTTATTTGCGATATCCTGCATGTGGCATTTCAGTAGGCTGGTAATTGGTCCGTGATTTTTCATACTAGACCTAGTTACTTTGCATATGACTAATATGTATGCCTAGGTGTTTTTGTCGGTTCATACAGTCTTATCCCAGGAGTACAGGCAATTAGTTGATTATCTAATGGAATCTGATTGGATCTTCTTTCTATTTATAAATCATGTTTCCAATTTACGTTAGTGCTTTTGTTGGGTAACAAATTACGTTTGTATGGGTTTCATTCACATAATAGCTTTAGAGATCCTATGTGAAAATCACATTGGCAATTTGCCAATATTTTCAATTTCGATTAGATTTCAACAGAAGTCACATGTAATTATTATGTTATTGTTGTTTACATTCAGAACACGGAGACAATGCGTTCCTGAAGTTCGTCAGTCTTCTCGGCGATCGCATCAGTCTGAAAGGATGGGACAGATTCAACGCTGGTCTCGATGTGAAAAGTGAGTTATTCAATAATAATAATAATAATAATAATAATAATAATAATAATAATAATAATAATAATAATAATAATAATAATAATAATACCTGCGCTTCCTTCAAAGAATAAACAATATATAGTGCAAAAGTACATAATGTTTAGTTTGTTTAGTTTATTCGTTCAATGCAGTATCAGCTAAAAACTGTGTTCTTATTTGCTGACAATGGTTTATTATAATCTTTCCCTTTCTATCTCAGGTAACACAACGGGTACTAAATCTATTTACACTATTTATGAAGGACATGAAATCATGTTTCATGTGTCAACCATGTTGCCTTATTCAAAAGATAATAAACAACAGGTAATGTAAAGCATATTCACAGGAAACATCTGAGTCGGGGTGATTTGCATTTATACAAAATAACCAATCCATTTGGTCACAGGATCGGCGTTCACACAGAGCTAAGAATAGGGCGTATCATCAGCTAACATGTGTATAATTGTGTCTTGCAAGTGAGACAGGAAAATGAAAAAGCTGATAATAATACTCTATTCTGCCTTTAGATGAATCTATAGTTGGTGATTAATTCAGTTGCATTGGGATATCTTACAAAGGGAGTAACGTGCGATTTCAGGTATTAAACTGTTGAGCGTTGTGGATATCAACTACATTATTCTATAATTGCACATGCCAGTCAAATCGGACATTGTCGTTGTAGCCATGGTGTTCACTTAGAGCAAACTCATTGCCTACCTCGTTAAGAAAACAAAATGTGCGCTATTTAGTGTATATGTGATGTTAAGAGTATGTCTAAGCTTCATTAAATTGGTGACATTGATGAATAGACCAGGTGTGGTAAGTCAAGATCAAGGTACGTATGCGAATAATTGACAGTTTATTCACCAACTAATTCACCAACTTATTCAGGTGGAGCGTAAACGGCACATCGGTAATGACATCGTCACCATAGTATTCCAAGAAACATCTGATTCAAACGTCCAGCCAACATTCAAACCGTCAATGATCAAGTCACATTTTACCCGTATCCTTTGTTTATTTTATAACTCGTTGATATGTATTAGGTTATTGGGGGCACACCTGGCCGTGAAACCGTTATGAATGTAGCATGCCTTAGCTGGGTCCCATCTGTTTCGTTTTTTTGTTAAATGTCATTATATATTGGAAGGTTATTACCTACTACTTGGAGCTAGTTGATGTCACTGACTGTATTATCCACGAACCGAATAACAACCATGTTAGGGAAAGAAGATATATCATGTTATTGGCAAATAGAGAAATCAAATTGGCAAAAAGATTATGTAGACTCAAAGAACTGCGCTTGCGAGTCGTATGCTAATTTATGCTAATTAGTCAGGCCCACTCAGCGCGTCAATGAACGTCAGTGTCTACCGCAAATAGTTGTCTGCATTCGGCAGATTCATTACCTTCTTGGCGAAAAAAAAAAAAAAAAAACAATTTTCAGTCGGCATTATTATCAGGTATTGACATTGCACCGAGTGCGTGAATAAGTGTTATCGAACGTGCTTAGATTTGTTTTGTTCACAGCGAGTAATTCGTAACTGGCTACACCTCTGCGCGTAAGACACGTACAAGAAAATAAAGAACTAGTTTAAATCCTTATCTATGCCAGGAACGTGATTATATGCTCACTAGCTCCCGGCATGAAGCGGGATTATAGTTGGAGTTGGTTATTGTGTGATACGTGTTTACGAGTGCAACATGTAAGCTGTAAGTCTACGTACTCCAGGCGATTGGTGTACTGACTCGCCACACGTAATGCTCATTCTATATGCATATGATGTGCATAATTAACGCAAACTTCGATCTCAATTATTATTATTAAAATGTTAATTATTAACAACTCAAAAATAACATAAACGTCATTGAGCGTGTACCACGTTTTGCAGATATGTTGACCGCTCACTCGCGGCCTGCATAACGTAATAGTTTGCACGTAGATTAAGCAATCACACTGAATTGAGTACGTGAATTGTACACGCTTCTGCTATGTATTGCTTGTGTGATTATAGATTAATTAATTAGACAGTAATTGACCGATCCCAGTTTTTTCACTTTAAAAAGGATAAATAATCGTTAGTACGAGAGATCAGAAAGTACCAAAATGTACTGTGCTTTGATAATCGACGCTCATTGACTGTTAAATTATGCACTTAATATTTCATTTTAAACTAGCATACAGTAGAATGGCGGTACTGACTGAAATACGTGAAACTCACTGAAATTCATCACTATATTTTAGAACTAATTCGACGATGGTATAATAAAAACTTTGATAAAGTACTATATCTCGAACGGGGCCAAGGAGCTCTCTGTTCTCCTATTCATTGTTCTACATTTGACCAAAAGAATTTACGCATAGTTATATATAAATGATTATAACATTCACAACGTGATATATCATATCGTTTTGGAAATAAGATTAAAATATGTGAATGGTGCCTACCCACTTAATAAGTTTGGCAATGTGCCGTGTGCTGTATAGTATACACCCATATGCCTAAGTGTACGTAATTGTTCCATAACCTAATGGTAGATATATTTGCTTTAGTGACGTATAACTCAGAAGATGACAGCTACAAGTGAGTATTCTTCAATTGTACATAAAGAATTGAGATCCATTGCGCGATATCTTCACATTTTATGATTTTTCGCTTCTAGTCGTAGCTATATGTATGTGTGTTTATCAATACTCCCCAGGCCCAGTCTTATAACTTTTTGCTGTTTTATGTTTTTACTAAGATTTCCGATTTTAACTATACTTGAACTGTGATAACTTAATGGCTGCTCTCAATTAGGAGTGGTGTAGACATTCGCGATAGTATGCTTTTCCATTTAAATATTTTGTTTTCAAATAATATTGAGCCACGATCAAATTCGACAATAATTAGTGTGGTCACGTGGTCGTACTGGTTAACTCCTTTGAAAATTCAATTAAACACGACATGAATGAGAATAAGGAAATAATAATGATACTTAATTAGCGTCTGTTCAATTATGAACTTATCTTCTGATTCCATGCACATGATACCTTGAAATATACGTGCATTCGTTCAGATGTTCGTAACTTACTGTGAGGTATTCCCAGCTGTACGTCTGAATACATCCACTGTCGTCCGAAATGTAATTTCCTTCACATAGCGGTGCCGGATATTTTACTTCCACTTGAGTATTCCACTGGAAAAGTTGGCTGGATATACTTCAGTGAGATAAACGTCAATATACCATATTTTCATTTGAATTTTATTTGTATTCCTGGGATTTAACAGTTATTAGCCTGTCGGCGACTATGTATGTACAGCGCTCAGTACTGTGATATGCATTGGCAGGAAGAACGCAATGGGAACGTGTAGTGCTCCGCTAACATATATACGCTAACATCTTTTTTAACCACAAGTATTTAGCACGTAGCCACTGAACATTCGCCACGTGCGCCTCACACCTCACACATACATGCATTATGCACGAGACAATCACGCCCTCTGGATATCACGTGACCAGATTTGCAGGTGGCTCGAAGTCGGTCCCGGTGCCTTCGACTAATCCTATAATACTGTATATGTATATTTCAACGTTTTATTTTGTATTACATTACAGGCTTTCGGTATTTTCAGAAGAATCTGTTCCGTTATTTGGCCCACCCCTGCCTTCCCCGCCTGTCTTTAAAGATCACATACAGTTCAGAGACTTTCTTCTTGTTAAACGTGAGTATAACTGGGAGAGGTATCCTTCACCAGGCTCCACGAAATCAAGCTATCGATTAAGATCTTTCGACGGCTAAGATCACCATTGCGATTTAATACTGAGAAATGACACGTCTACCTACGTACATACATACGAAATGAAACCTACTTGTTTTGCAGTAATCAATGGAGAAAAAGCAGCATTCAATACACCAACCTTTGCTAACAAGCGACAGAGGACTTTGGATATGCTCATTAAAAACTTGCATCAGGAACTACTACCGGAGGTTAGCAAGGTAAGTAAGCAGTACGCGCCCGAGGTACTTGTATTTGTAGAACCAGTATTTCTTTATTCATTCGTGAATAAAAAAACCTACAATATACGGGGATGCATGAATCCTAAATCATATTCCGCGAACGAGCCTTAATGACTTTGTGTGGAGGGGGCAACAACGGACGTCATAGGAGATGCCAAGTGTAGAAACAACCGCGAGACATGTTTATAATTATGTCATTCCCGTATATGTCATGTAATTTTCTTAATGATAAATCGCAGTAAACGCGATTAATATTAACAAAGTCCTTATTTCTTGGATTAAATATCGTTTAACCTTTTCAGCAAAATATGTTAAACAAGCGATCCTTCAGTGACGTCATACCGGAAGCTCAACGAGGCGGGAAAAGTAGAAAGGAGGAGCAAAGGCAGTCGGAATTCCTTAGGATAGGACAGGTAATATATGGCGTCAGTATCGATGGACAAATCTGTGTTTGATTTTATTGAGAGAATTATATTTTTTTTTGAAACTCTGAAATATTTTACGCTATAGACAATTAGAGGCAAATGACCGGCGAGGTATCGTTGTGGGCGAGAGTGCCACGAGACTCAAATAGTGTTTCATTGTATTTGAGGAGCAAATACAAGTCTCGCACGTGGCTCTCGTTCTCCACGAGATAACGGCGGCCATTTACAACTACTAGTACTGGTTTACTGAATATAAACGGCAACGAATGTAAAAATTGAAACTGTATATCGCTTATGAAATACATATTTTTTATGATCGAAGTCTACTCATAAATGAAAATACCAAGAATTTATTCATTTTGCAATAAATTGTGTTGACAATATAAGGATATTGACTTAAAAAGTTGTGGATCGCCAGGCTTATTTTCGAGAAAATAATAGTTGTATTTTAGTTGATAGTTGTCATTTTAGCACTATTATTATAACGCTTTTATCCTAGGTTCATATGAGATATTATGCTATTAATTATTTTAAAAATCTGGATTTTAAAAGTTTTCTTTAACATTGTGTTCTATGGAAGTGTTACAAAAAAATGGAGATTTTTGAAAAATGTTTCAGAAACAACTTTACTGTAACACAAACTATAAAACTATAACTATTAAAGCTGCATGATTATAGATAATAAACCAATAAATATTGTCATGCGAATTATGACCAACTTTCTAAAATTATGAGTAAGATTTTACTTTAACTCACGGTTCGAACGCGCAATGAACGCCAAAACAGCCATTCAGTCGACCATCATACTTGACCATAATATTTGGAAGTGCTGTCACGGTAATTTCAATATTCAGTTGACGAGAATTCGGTCACTATAATGATGATGGACAGAATTTGACAACACTCTAGATCTTTGACTTATTTATTATTATCCTAAGTGGGTTAATTACGATTCGCTTATTTCCTTAGATGTTGAAACTACAGACTATTGTGAAAGGAGACGCTCCTACAAGTCTTGCCACCACAAGTCTGTTCAGACGCGAGGTAAGCAAGCTGAGACTGTGATTAAAATACAATCATGATATTGCGTCATTGGCGTTTGCATCACGTGTAGCCTGTTCACTCAAAGGCGATGATAGTAATAACCGCTACGCATAAACACATGCACCCCATCAGTCTTCAATTCGAAACAGAATTCAAGATAATAAAATTGGTTTGTCAGAGTAGGCTGGTTATTTATTGAATTTTCCTTCATCTTCCTGTAGCCATGGGAACCACACTGCATTACCTCTGATTTTCCTCATCACATTGTTTGCGGCGACACATGGGGTGAGTGTAACATCGTTATTTATTCGTACTTTGAGCGGAGATTTAGCTACTATCTGCTCTGGGGTATTACTCAGCGACGCCACCTTTCATTATCCATTCCCGAGTATACAAGTTATTATCCGTACAGTAATTATACCCATCAACTCAGCGAATACCCCGGTTTACGTATTTACAGCAACAAGAAAATTTATAACTGTCAGAACCGAACAGTGACAAATTATGACATCGTGGATTTTGTTTTATAAAACACGCCATAGCATGCGGTGGCCGCGTGGCTACAAATTCAGTTAGTTTACCTGGCAGTGGATTTACCCTCTTTTATTATTATAATGTTTAATGCATTCAGGCGACAGACTAGTGGTCGGTACTGACGTCGGTGTTTACATCTTAGAAGGTATGTAATTAGTTTAGTTTAACTCGAGTATAAAGAAAAGTGCCCATGTGTACCTTCTTAATAGTCCGCGTTCTCAATAAATACATATTAATAACATATCAACGATTATGTTTATGTTCTCAGAGGGAATCAGTGCCCGTCTCATCTTTGACAAGTCCGTGCATGTAAAACAGCTGAGCGTGGTCGAGGCGCATGGATTGGTGCTATTCAGAGCAGACAAAGGTAACAATACGCGTTACCCTCTGAGCTTAGTCAAGTTTTCGTGACAGTATTTCTGCTTTACATTTTATCGTTATTAATGTTTCTATATGGTATGCTTCAACGTCGAGTTTGCAAAATGCAAAATAATGTTCGATCCATGTGAGTAGTGCCGGGTTTGCAGTACGTACATGAAATACCAAACGCACGTGCATTTGTCTGGTCAAATATTGTTTCAAACGAATACTAGTATATTGTGTGCACTAACACTAACTATTTAGTTAAACGTAGCAATTGTAGTACTACTTGGCATGCCGTACCTCAGTCGAGTGTGTCGAGAAATGCAAGTGCACACCATCGAAAGAGGGAGCGATTCTGACACGTCAAAATAACGAAGATGGTGTATGTAAATTCGTTCGGATAAACAACTACTTTTGGTTGTGTAGTCGTTCGTAATTTGCAAATGTAGTAGTCTTATTGTTGGATCGCCGCAGATGACAACAATATGGAGGCTATAAACAGCCTTTCTTTCATCCATCCGTCGATTGAGGGCGCGATTCATAGGAACAATACTATTTCGAACACAATGTGCACCCACATCACCTTTTAATTTCTGTTTTCCCGTTAAGACATCTCCGTTTTGTTCTGTAAACTATATTTTTTTTAATTTATTTTGCGTGTGGTTTCCCTGACAGTAAAGATTGGCATGTTGTTATTGATTATGTTTGCAGGCAAAGATTGTAAAGTGTACGTGTTCAGACTGTCAGATTTTGAGGGAGAACAAAATGAATATGTATTACGAACAAAAACTGACTGTAAAGATCATAAACTAGAACGAACAAGAGGTGAGCACGTGATTATGTTATTCAAAGTATTTCCGGCCTCATCTACGATGTTAATTGCCCCTTTCACGTGATATGAGAATTAGTGTTGTTCACACGTACGTCGGAAAAGTTACTATGATTTGACCTACGCCTCACACGGCATCTGTACAGCAATAAATTGATTGTTATCCGAACACGGCAGTACAAGTTAGAATAGGTTAGACAGTATTAAAGGCGTCTTGTCGGGTGGGAATGGTGTAACATTCGGCTCCGTGCCTGTCAGTTGGTTTATGAGAACAAAGCGAAGCGTGTCTGTGACGTCAAAATGACGTAGATGAGTGTGAGCAAAGTCGGTCAAATGATAAAGTCGTGTAATAGTTCTTGATTTAGAATAAATCTGAAAAATAACGTTTTGTGTTGACAGACGAGCACAGATTAAAACAAATTGAATATACACTGTTGTGAATAGCGTTACCTTGCACTCATTACGTCACGTTAACCCTTCGCCGCTAGAGGGCTCGACATCAAGACACGGTGTATTTAGTGTAGAATTTCTTACTATTACTGTACATGTAATCGACAGGATGTCATCTATATTCGCTGAGTAGACCGGGCGGGAGCCACCTACGCATGTGCGTTGCTATCGGTAAAAAGTTACTCCTGATGACATGGAAACACAGTGCTGCGTGGACAGCTTGGTGCACGGCGGCAGACACGGACACTATCGAGGGGTTCCAATACGTACGGGTAAGGTTTTTTTTTCGTGGGAAGTTGTCTTCCTTGCGTTTCAGTTTAAAACAAATGTGAAACTATCACGGGTGTTCAATATGGTTAGTATTGCATTATTGAAATGTATTTAACGAGGTAACATTGTAAGCAGAACAAATTTTGTGTGGAAAAGTGTTCAAAATCGGATCTTCTCGAAAATGCCATATCGCTCTGTGGGCGTCATTTAGCTGAATGTAATGACACAAGCAGACTGACTGCGCGCCAAAATAAAAGTGGCAGATTTGTGTTGGTTGGCTAGTGTCTATGCGTGTGTTGTTTTGGTTTTACCGACAATTCAGACCTTAGCGTACGCCTTTCAGTGAACGGGGGAAATGGTATTTAAAAGGTCATATTAGAAAGGTCTTACTTGTATTTTGATGTAAAGACATTTTTGTATGACATTTACAAATAACACGTTACAGTAGAAGATAAATTAAGTTACTGCAACTCGATCGCCTGCGTCGAACTAGGGTTTGCTATTGTCACGTGATGAAGGCTGTCAGCCAATCACGAACATTGGCGGCTGAGCTGGCATGTAGAATCAATATATACTATGACAAAAAGCACATTAAAAAAACAAAAAAAATAATTTATTACTCTGGCTGTGTGTGTTTGTTCCGTGAAAAGATTGAAGGGGGTAAGTTGTAGAGGTTACTTGACTCTATAACATTTCTTAATAGACGACGAAATAAACAGCAACACGGGATCCTCCCCGTGAAGATGATTTATTATATACTGTATAAACCCGCTTCATTCTGGCGTCTTGCATTTCCTCCCGTCTACGATTCCAGTAAATTTATCATTCCTACTTATTTCACCAGAATGGGTGTGTATAATATTTATTCTGCTCGAGGAGGCCACGTGCTGATTTAGCCTGGCTTCCCTATTAATTCTTCGGCCCTCTCTATAGAGGGGAGTGGATCAGTGAAATTAGGGTTAACCATGCTAGTGCTGATTTAGCTTTGTCTTATAAGAGATTCATTCTAGAGTTGCATCATATACCGGCGAAGCACGCAGTAATGATGTATATTGGCGTGTGCAATGCCGCTGAAATAGAAAACTCTGTTCGGTTGATCTGAGTCACGGTGGTCGTTCGTCGTTTAAAATGAGGACAATTATTGACGGGTGACCACAGGTTAACACCAATTCAACACTGAATATTAGCGTCACGGTGAAGCCTCGGCACTAGGACTGCTGGGAGCGCGATATATAGTAACCACACATAGCTTACTGGCGCGTTTATTGTTTGAAGATTTAGTAACGCTGTCATTTTCTTGTTTTAGGAACTGTATGCAGGGGACGTGCCAATCTTAATGACACTTATTGATGGCGGGAAAGGCGACAACCAAATATGTGTCGGCTACCGGCACCAGTTTGACCTAATCAACGAAAAGAACGGCGACACGTTCCGTCTGCACCAAGTCGAGACTAGTAAGGTATTGTTTTGACAAGAACTGGCGAGAGTTTTAGTTTTGGTTTTTGTTGGCGATAGAGTAAAAACACAAGCGATAACCATATAGCGACTGTCGGGGAGAGGGGCATGTTTCTCGGTCCCTTTCAGTGTGGTGCTCCCTTGCAGTAAACAAGTTTAGTTCATCTTTTCTATAACATATTAATAATATTTCTTCTAAAATTCAGGTTAATTTGGTTACGGCATTGGATATTTATGAAGACGACGAGGCCGAGTTATTACTATGTTATAGCCGTAAGTTTTCACAGTACTCGTATATACAATGTCGCAAACAACCTGGTGCATGGTCGGCGCAAATACTAGTAGTTTCAGAAACCGAGATTACATATATCGTTCTTTCCACTTTATCAATTTAAGTGTGTTTACCGAATCACTTTGGCGATTGACGCAAGCGTCATGTCTACATACAGCAACCACGTGACCATTTGCAATGACTACGCTGTTTATCTGTTGGATTTCAATAATTTGTCTTCACATTGTCCGAACGGCAGATGCCACGCACCCCTCAGGCTTGGCGATTTAATGTTACTGTGATGAACGCTGATAGTGCTGCTATTGATTATCGTCGGATATCGATCTGAATCGAGAGCATAGTAATTGATTTCCTATCAGTCATCATCATCAATCTTATATTGATCAACATCAGTCTTATTGGCCGCCGCACTTGTTTACAATCTGTGCGGGTGCGCGTGCGCAGTGACTGCTGGTTGACAAGAGCCTGACGTTGAAATTCGAAGATAAATTAACAGCGTTGTTCACTGTTGTTGTTGTTATTAAAGCGGGAGGGTCGGCACGAGAATTGAGTCCCAAGCGACGATAACAACATACGCTAAAAACGCAAGGAATCATGGGAAGAAGATTGTTTGCAAACAGTGACACGCTATGGCCATGCGCAGGTGACGACTCCCCCGCTTTAAATATACATGTGTATGTTACTGTTAATAAGACAACATATGGGCAATGTTATCGCAGCAGATCGCTAGTCTTTATTGATCAGCGATTACAATATATACATATGACGTCACAGTGCATTTAGGGAATAATTTAATACACATGTATGCCAAAACAAAACTAGACTTGATTCTGGTCGGCGCGTGCGTCAATTCCATAGGCGGCCATTGCAAACATGTTTTTATTTGAAAACGTGCCAGCCGTTGGTAGCGCAATAACTGGTTAGCGCATACACAGATCGACTGTCTTGAAATATCGCATCGTTTTTTTCAAGAAACTTTGAAACAAGAAACAGATCTATTTTGTTTACTATACATACATGATTAGGACACGTTAACACAGATTTGTGTGTGGTTATTCCTTCGTGACCTTTCAAATAAAATATTTGTCCTGTCCGTCTTTCCTATAGACGTTTCTCAGTTTAAGAAGTTGACTGGAGACCAATCATCAGACTTTGATATCCATTGGAACTCGCCACCTACGGCTGTCGGTAAGTTTTCCATCACACATAAAGCAAATGAGACAGGTTGTGTCGGGATCACTGTCTTTCTGTAACCACGATAGCACGTCACTGGAGTACAATGCAATACTCACTGTGTCCAAAATGACACACATCACAATTCAATTCACTCTTGAACGAAGTTACTGCGTTATCATAAAATTTTGCTGAATAATGTTTGTGGTCATCTGTGTTCCCTTCCAGTCTGTGCATTCCCGTACATACTGGCGTTCACACCTGATACTATTGAGATACGTCTGGTTGTCAATGGCAACCTGGTAAATGAAATGACGATGCCGAGACTCAGCCTCATCACGTCAAAGGTTCGTTTCACCATTATTTGTTTTATATTTATAATATATATGGACGTACAACCCTACATGGGGTATTGAATAGAATTGAAGAGAAAAACATTAATTGACATGGGCGCGACGCCGATAATTGTTTTCAGTCATATTTCGTGTGAAAACAAAACATGGCGCGTATCACGTATCCAGGCCTGTGGCTAACCACGCGAACGCGCGTCACTACAGTGGGCCAGCAGTGATCTTGCGCTCGCAAGGTTGGGGCTAACTGCGTCCTCGTCGATGAATAGCTGAGAATAGCTGAAATCTGTCGGTGCGGTCGCAATTCACGTGAATCAGGCTCGTTGTTTTAAAGAAGTCACTCAAAGCTGTGATGTGTTTTTCATTCATTCATTCATTCAGTAACTCTTTACCACAATAATCATATGTGATACACTTATACGAGGCGCGGAATGTAAATTTATTATTTTGTGTATACTAGAAGAAAACGTACTAATAATTCAAAATTACGTACGTATTGGAGGCCGTGGCGTGTGTGTTTTAAAATGATGTGTGCATTTAAAAAAAAAAAACGGCGTGACTGTGCGTTTAATGGTATGTGCTTTAAAAATCATGTGTGTATATTAAATGGCGTGGGTGTTTTAAAAAACGTGTGTTTTAAAAATAACGTGTGAATTAAAAATGATGTGTGTCTTAAAACGGCGTGTGTGTTTACAATTATGTGTATTTAAAAAAAACGTGTGTGTTTAAAAGGACATGTGTATTTTAAAAATAATGTGTGTTTAAAAACATAACGTGTGCGCAAAAACGATGCGTGTGTTTTTAAAAATGGCGTGTGTTTAAAAACGACGTCTGTGTTTTTAAAAATTGCGTGTGTTTAAAAACGACGTGCGTGTTAAAAAATGACGTGTGTGTTTTTAAAAATGGCGTGTGTTTAAAAATGAGGTGTGTGTTTAAAAATGACGTGTGTGTTTTAAAATGACGTGTGTGTTTAAAAATGACGTGTGCGTTTTTAAAAATGACGTGTGTGTTAAAAACGACGTGTGTGTTAAAAACGACGTGTGTGTTAAAAAATGACGTGTGTGTTTTTAAAAATGGCGTGTGTGAGGTCGAATGAAAATTTCGTGAGTAAAAAGAAAAAACGCGTGCATTAACTCATTTACGCCTGGGGGCGCTGTTTTGGATGATTTTTTTTCGTGTGTGTGTGTGCAAAACAACGCGTGCGTTAACCTTTTTACGCCTGTGGGGGCGCTATTTGAGAGATTTATTTCATGTGTGTGTTAAAAAAATTGCGTGCATTAACCTATTCACGCCTGTGGAGGCGTCGTCTCAAGTGGTAGCCATTTTCGTTTGGGGATTTCTATAACGTCAATAAGATACGTAAAAAGGAACTTGTCCAGCACGTCCAGTCCAGCATTTTGCCCTATAAATTTACCGACACTGTGTATACCTCACAGACCAGGTGATTTATTCGTGTGGTTGGTTGCTGAATACAATGCGTGGACGTCTGGTACAATGGGGCAGAACAAAGTACTCATACTGGTCTCACAGGCGCTCAGAACATTTCTTTGATAATAAAAAATGACCTAAAGTAGG